TCGGGCCCCACTACGTAAAACCAGTCCCCATGACGTGAGCGGAATCTCAGGTTATGGAACCCACTAGGAGTTGAAAACAAGTGCACACATACACACACACACACTCACACTCGCAGGCATGCACGCACACACACACACACACTCACACATACACACACTAATGGATGTAAACTATCTACATGATAATTATATGCATTAGGAGTGGAATGTAGAGTGGTCATACTTTGCATATTTCCACTTGTGTGTATGTGTGTGTGTGTGTGTATATGTGTGTGTGTCTGTGTGCGTGTCTGTGTGTGTGTGTGTGTATATGTGTGTGTGTGTCTCTCTCCAAACACGGTGGTGATAAACTACTGTAGCCACAGCTGCCCTGGGGCACATTGACAGAAGACAGGCAACCAGTCTGTGCCATCGGCCCCCGGGGACTTCAGAGGGAGGTGTGTGGTCAGAGAGAGGTGTGTGATCAGAGAGAGGAGAGAGGTGTGTGATCAGAGAGAGGAGAGAGGTGTGTGATCAGAGAGAGGTGTGTGATCAGAGAGAGGAGAGAGGTGTGTGATCAGAGAGAGGTGTGTGGTCAGAGAGAGGTGTGTGATCAGAGAGAGGAGAGAGGTGTGTGATCAGAGAGAGGAGAGAGGTGTGTGATCAGAGAGAGGAGAGAGGTGTGTGATCAGAGAGAGGTGTGTGGTCAGAGAGAGGTGTGTGATCAGAGAGAGGAGAGAGGTGTGTGATCAGAGAGAGGAGAGAGGTGTGTGATCAGAGAGAGGAGAGAGGTGTGTGATCAGAGAGAGGTGTGTGATCAGAGAGAGGTGTGTGGTCAGAGAGAGGTGTGTGATCAGAGAGAGGAGAGAGGTGTGTGATCAGAGAGAGGTGTGTGATCAGAGAGAGGTGTGTGGTCAGAGAGAGGTGTGTGATCAGAGAGAGGAGAGAGGTGTGTGATCAGAGAGAGGAGAGAGGTGTGTGATCAGAGAGAGGTGTGTGGTCAGAGAGAGGTGTGTGATCAGAGAGAGGTGTGTGATCAGAGAGAGGAGAGAGGTGTGTGATCAGAGGGAGGTGTGTAATCAGAGAGAGGAGAGAGGTGTGTGGTCAGAGAGAGGAGAGAGGTGTGTGATCAGAGAGAGGTGTGTGATCAGAGGGAGGTGTGTGATCAGAGAGAGGTGTGTGATCAGAGGGAGGTGTGTGGTCAGAGAGAGGTGTGTGGTCAGAGAGAGGTGTGTGATCAGAGAGAGGTGTGTGATCAGAGAGAGGTGTGTGGTCAGAGAGAGGTGTGTGGTCAGAGGGAGGTGTGTGATCAGAGAGAGGTGTATGATCAGAGAGAGGAGAGAGGTGTGTGATCAGAGAGAGGAGAGAGGTGTGTGGTCAGAGGGAGGTGTGTGATCAGAGAGAGGTGTGTGGTCAGAGAGAGGTGTGTGATCAGAGGGAGGTGTGTGATCAGAGAGAGGTGTGTGATCAGAGAGAGGAGAGAGGTGTGTGGTCAGAGGGAGGTGTGTGATCAGAGAGAGGTGTGTGGTCAGAGAGAGGAGAGAGGTGTGTGATCAGAGAGAGGTGTGTGGTCAGAGGGAGGTGTGTGATCAGAGAGAGGTGTGTGGTCAGAGAGAGGAGAGAGGTGTGTGATCAGAGAGAGGTGTGTGATCAGAGAGAGGAGAGAGGTGTGTGATCAGAGAGAGGTGTGTGGTCAGAGGGAGGTGTGTGATCAGAGAGAGGTGTGTGGTCAGAGAGAGGAGAGAGGTGTGTGATCAGAGAGAGGTGTGTGATCAGAGAGAGGTGTGTGGTCAGAGAGAGGTGTGTGATCAGAGAGAGGTGTGTGGTCAGAGAGAGGTGTGTGATCAGAGAGAGGTGTGTGGTCAGAGAGAGGTGTGTGATCAGAGAGAGGTGTGTGGTCAGAGAGAGGTGTGTGATCAGAGAGAGGTGTGTGATCAGAGAGAGGTGTGTGGTCAGAGAGAGGTGTGTGATCAGAGAGAGGTGTGTGGTCAGAGAGAGGTGTGTGATCAGAGAGAGGTGTGTGGTCAGAGAGAGGTGTGTGATCAGAGAGAGGTGTGTGATCAGAGAGAGGTGTGTGGTCAGAGAGAGGTGTGTGATCAGAGAGAGGTGTGTGGTCAGAGAGAGGTGTGTGATCAGAGAGAGGTGTGTGGTCAGAGAGAGGTGTGTGATCAGAGAGAGGTGTGTGGTCAGAGAGAGGTGTGTGATCAGAGAGAGGTGTGTGATCAGAGAGAGGTGTGTGATCAGAGAGAGGTGTGTGATCAGAGAGAGGTGTGTGGTCAGAGAGAGGTGTGTGATCAGAGAGAGGTGTGTGATCAGAGAGAGGTGTGTGATCAGAGAGAGGAGAGAGGTGTGTGATCAGAGAGAGGTGTGTGGTCAGAGGGCGGTGTGTGATCAGAGAGAGGTGTGTGGTCAGAGAGAGGTGTGTGATCAGAGAGAGGTGTGTGATCAGAGAGAGGTGTGTGATCAGAGAGAGGAGAGAGGTGTGTGATCAGAGAGAGGTGTGTGGTCAGAGGGCGGTGTGTGATCAGAGAGAGGTGTGTGGTCAGAGAGAGGTGTGTGATCAGAGAGAGGTGTGTGATCAGAGAGAGGAGAGAGGTGTGTGATCAGAGAGAGGTGTGTGATCAGAGAGAGGAGAGAGGTGTGTGATCAGAGAGAGGTGTGTGATCAGAGAGAGGTGTGTGGTCAGAGAGAGGTGTGTGATCAGAGAGAGGTGTGTGGTCAGAGAGAGGTGTGTGATCAGAGAGAGGTGTGTGATCAGAGAGAGGAGAGAGGTGTGTGATCAGAGAGAGGTGTGTGATCAGAGAGAGGAGAGAGGTGTGTGATCAGAGAGAGGTGTGTGATCAGAGAGAGGAGAGAGGTGTGTGGTCAGAGAGAGGTGTAAATCTTTCCATAGTCTTCTGTTCTTTCTCTCTCTTCTGTTCTCTCTCTCGTCTGTTCTCTCTCTCTCTCTTCTGTTCTTTCTCTCTCTTCTGTTCTCTCTCTCGTCTGTTCTCTCTCTCTCTTCTGTTCTTTCTCTCTCTTCTGTTCTCTCTCTCGTCTGTTCTCTCTCTCTTCTGTTCTTTCTCTCTCCGCTCTCATCCTTCTGTCGTTCTCGTCACACACTTCTCCGTTCGATCCGTGTCAATTCAGTTTCGGCTGTGGAGAATTTGTTGTTGATCGACGGCTGCGTCAAAACAGAGTCGTCAGTCACAGACCTCCCTCCCTCCCTCCCTCACTCTCTCCCTCCTGGTCTCTCCATTTCCATAAATCTGAAAAGCTGCCTCCCTAGGTTTACTCCTGACTCTGGGACCAGCAGGAGTCCAGTCCCTGTGCTCCTCAGAGTCCCAGCAGGAGTCCAGTCCCTGTGCTCCTCAGAGTCCCAGCAGGAGTCCAGTCCCTGTGCTCCTCAGAGTCCCAGCAGGAAGCCAGTCCCTGTGCTCCTCAGAGTCCCAGCAGGAGTCCAGTCCCTGTGCTCCTCAGAGTCCCAGCACGAGGCCAGTCCCTGTGCTCCTCAGAGTCCCAGCAGGAGTCCAGTCCCTGTGCTCCTCAGAGTCCCAGCAGGAGTCCAGTCCCTGTGCTCCTCAGAGTCCCAGCAGGAGTCCAGTCCCTGTGCTCCTCAGAGTCCCAGCAGGAGTCCAGTCCCTGTGCTCCTCAGAGTCCCAGCAGGAAGCCAGTCCCTGTGCTCCTCAGAGTCCCAGCAGGAGTCCAGTCCCTGTGCTCCTCAGAGTCCCAGCAGGAGTCCAGTCCCTGTGCTCCTCAGAGTCCCAGCAGGAGTCCAGTCCCTGTGCTCCTCAGAGTCCCAGCAGGAAGCCAGTCCCTGTGCTCCTCAGAGTCCCAGCAGGAGTCCAGTCCCTGTGCTCCTCAGAGTCCCAGCACGAGGCCAGTCCCTGTGCTCCTCAGAGTCCCAGCAGGAGTCCAGTCCCTGTGCTCCTCAGAGTCCCAGCACGAGGCCAGTCCCTGTGCTCCTCAGAGTCCCAGCAGGAGTCCAGTCCCTGTGCTCCTCAGAGTCCCAGCAGGAGTCCAGTCCCTGTGCTCCTCAGAGTCCCAGCAGGAAGCCAGTCCCTGTGCTCCTCAGAGTCCCAGCAGGAGTCCAGTCCCTGTGCTCCTCAGAGTCCCAGCAGGAAGCCAGTCCCTGTGCTCCTCAGAGTCCCAGCAGGAGTCCAGTCCCTGTGCTCCTCAGAGTCCCAGCAGGAGGTCAGTCCCTGTGCTCCTCAGAGTCCCAGCACGAGGCCAGTCCCTGTGCTCCTCAGAGTCCCAGCAGGAGTCCAGTCCCTGTGCTCCTCAGAGTCCCAGCAGGATTCCAGTCCCTGTGCTCCTCAGAGTCCCAGCAGGAGTCCAGTCCCTGTGCTCCTCAGAGTCCCAGCAGGAGGCCAGTCCCTGTGCTCCTCAGAGTCCCAGCAGGAGTCCAGTCCCTGTGCTCCTCAGAGTCCCAGCACGAGTCCAGTCCCTGTGCTCCTCAGAGTCCCAGCACGAGTCCAGTCCCTGTGCTCCTCAGAGCCCCAGCAGGAGACCAGTCCCTGTGCTCCTCAGAGTCCCCGCAGGAGTCCAGTCCCTGTGCTCCTCAGAGTCCCAGCAGGAGTCCAGTCCCTGTGCTCCTCAGAGTCCCAGCAGGAGTCCAGTCCCTGTGCTCCTCAGAGTCCCAGCAGGAGTGCAGTCCCTGTGCTCCTCAGAGTCCCAGCAGGAGTCCAGTCCCTGTGCTCCTCAGAGTCCCAGCAGGAGGCCAGTCCCTGTGCTCCTCAGAGTCCCAGCAGGAGTCCAGTCCCTGTGCTACTTTGGTGCTTGGCCACGCAGAGACTTGTACACAGCCGACTACTACTATTTTAAAGTCTGTTCTCTGGACCTGAGAACTGGACTAATGTGATCCTACGTCCTGGTTCTAGTCTGGTCTCCAGCTGTTTCAGAGACAGATTTTTGTTATTATCAAATCCATAATAAAATGTAGAACAGTTCGTTAAAACGTCAAATTCCAGGCTGAAAACTGCACCAACTTTTTTGCACAGTTAATTCAAGTTTTTTTCTTCTTCTTCTATTTAGCAGAGAGCTCAGTGAGGGGCCGGCCTTTGAAGTGTGGGGACGAACACTGCTACCTGGCTGCGTCTTGATTTGTTCCGCAGCGCACGTTTGAACCAGCAGGGGCGCCATAAATTATGCTCAAAGGACAGACGGCTCTGAGACGTGCCGTGAGAGCGGTTCTGTTCTTTCATGAGACAAACACCGGCTTCCATTTGGAGCCGAGAGACGGGACCAGACCCCGGCCGTGCACAGCGGTGTGTCTCAATCAGAACAGGCTGAAGAAGAGATTAAACCCACAGTCAGGAGCTTTACAAATACTCCACATTTTAACATTTAAGTGCTGGTTATTCTTCACTGGAGTCAGCACAAAGTTATGGAAAGGTCTATAGATGTGGATTTACTTTGGGCACTACCCATTTTAAACAAGTTTGAAGGGTTTCCAGCTGTTGAAAGTGTAGTGTAGAACTTGGGCACTTTACAGCCGCCCCACTGTGGCACCTGCTGTTCCCAGAGGTCTCCCATCACAGTACTAACCAGGCATGGCCCTGCTTAGCTTCAAAGGTCTGACAGGTACTGGCTTTCACCTGCAGATATGGTCACAATAAATAATGTCAAAATAAAAACGATTACCAAATAACCAAAATAAATCCACTTCATGACAACTTTAGCACATGTTTTTAGTGGTAGGGGAAACCGGAGCACCTGGAGGAACTCTACATAGACACAGGGAGAATATGAAAACCCTGGTTCTAGTTGGTTTGCTGTGAATCGCGAGCGCCACCGTACCACAGTGGCCGAAGAAGGTTACTGCAGGAGTGATTCTGTGTCTATTGGATTTTATTTAACAACTTAAAAAATAATGTCTTTGCCGATAAAGTTTAGCAGCTTTTTAAAACTCTTTCTGACGTGAAATGAGGAGCGGAGCGAGACCCAGTACTTCCACTCGCTCTCATTTAGTTAATCCGTTTCCTGTTACGGTGGACAGACGTTGCATCACTGTTCGTCAGACAATATTTACGCGACAATCTCCAGCTCAGGATGCGACGGAAATGGATTATTGGGACGGAGGAGGAGACGGCAACTTCCTCATACAAAGCTAATCATTTCTTTACCGGCAACAACTCAAGCGTCTCGGAAAAAAAATAAAGTTTTCTTCATATTGCGTTTTGGAAAGTTTGACGCTCCATCCATATGCATAAGAATCTGTTTGCTCTCGCAGCAGACCTCACAGCCCGACGCCGAGGACGTGATTTAAAACCGGAGTGAGGAAAATGGAGCCGTATTTGAGAAGTGGATGAAATAAACGTTTGGTTATTTAGAGCAGGGCAGGTTTCTGTTTAGGCCTGAATGAGTTTCACAGAGGGGAGCTCAGCAATCATCGATGGAGCATGTCTGGAAACGTTAGACCTGCCGTCGCTGAGCAGAGGCCAAGCCAGTTTTGAATATTTACAGTTTTATCGCAATAATGGGAAAAAGTGAGTTATGTATGGAGATAAGTTTAGATTCAGAAGAACCGCGCTGCCACTGTGTCATGTAAAAGTCTATCACTAACCATGGACAATTATACATATATAAAAAAAACAAAGGTATCAATAATCCAATGCTCAGATCTATTGGTAAATTTAGAAGTCATTTAGCAAGAGCTTCAGTTTGGAAATTGAGCCAAAAGATAAGATAAGATTAGATAAAATAGACTTTATTGATCTCACTCTGGAGAAATGTACAATGTTTAGAGGTTGAGCTGAGAGCTGTCCGTGGTGCTGATCCATGATTGTGCTTATATGGCTGAAACAATTTTCATAATCATGAAAATAACTCTTTGAATGAGAAGGTGTGTCCAAACCTTTGGTCTGTACTGCATTTCCATCTGGAGAGACTCGAACACACAACACATAGTACTAGATTTGTATGTTGATTGACACACACACACACACACACACACACCAGACTCATTCTAATGTAGGTGACGCGTCTTGCCTCAGGACACAATGACAGTTTGGCACTTTACAGCCGCAGCCGCCCCACTGTGACTTTGACACCCAGGCTCTACAGCGATCACAGAGATAGGTTTTTAAATAGAATATAAATCCTCTCCCGTGTATTTGTATCAAACGCAGCCACTACAGACACAGATAGCCCCAGGGCAGATCTTGTTATCAGCGCATATTGAAAATCCACATGAAAGATTACACGCATCCATGACCCAAAACAACATCCCATTACAACCATCAGCGCTCACGGTCTCTGCCATATCAGATCACAGACGCAAATCCATCTTTCCGTTGGCCAAAATAAAAGCAAGAGAAAAACGCCGTGTCGTCTGCTTTTGTCTCGCTTCCATCACCGTCAAATCTATTATTCTGCGGCGAAGGAAAGTCGGGCGTTGTTGGCGGCGAGGAAGTTTTTTTGGCTTTTCATTCTTCCGTCTTTGCTTCCGTCTGTCCTCGCCTCGTGACCGGGACGAGTCTGTGTTTTGTGGAAAATGACAATCTGTGTTTTTCAGACAGGTCCGTGCACCAGCGACCGCTCACTTCCTATGATGTTTATTTTAAAGGGGGTCTATAGAGAGCTCGCTGTGGTCCGGTTTAAAGGGCGTCTATAGAGAGCTCGCTGTGGTCTGGTTTAAAGGGCGTCTACAGAGAGCTCGCTGTGGTCTGGTTTAAAGGGCGTCTACAGAGAGCTCACTGTGGTCCGGTTTAAAGGGGTCTATAGAGAGCTCGCTGTGGTCTGGTTTAAAGGGCGTCTACAGAGAGCTCGCTGTGGTCCGGTTTAAAGGGCGTCTACAGAGAGCTCACTGTGGTCCGGTTTAAAGGGGGTCTACAGAGAGCTCACTGTGGTCCGGTTTAAAGGGGGTCTACAGAGAGCTCGCTGTGGTCCGGTTTAAAGGGGTCTATAGAGAGCTCGCTGTGGTCTGGTTTAAAGGGCGTCTACAGAGAGCTCGCTGTGGTCCGGTTTAAAGGGGGTCTACAGAGAGCTCGCTGTGGTCTGGTTTAAAGGGCGTCTACAGAGAGCTCGCTGTGGTCCGGTTTAAAGGGCGTCTACAGAGAGCTCACTGTGGTCCGGTTTAAAGGGGGTCTACAGAGAGCTCGCTGTGGTCCGGTTTAAAGGGGTCTATAGAGAGCTCGCTGTGGTCTGGTTTAAAGGGCGTCTACAGAGAGCTCGCTGTGGTCCGGTTTAAAGGGCGTCTACAGAGAGCTCACTGTGGTCCGGTTTAAAGGGGGTCTACAGAGAGCTCGCTGTGGTCCGGTTTAAAGGGGGTCTATGGAGAGCTCTCTGTGGTCCGGTTTAAAGGGGGTCTACAGAGAGCTCGCTGTGGTCCGGTTTAAAGGGGGTCCATAGAGAGCTCGCTGTGGTCCGGTTTAAAGGGCGTCCATAGAGAGCTCGCTGTGGTCTGGTTTAAAGGGCGTCTATAGAGAGCTCACTGTGGTCCGGTTTAAAGGGGGTCTACAGAGAGCTCACTGTGGTCCGGTTTAAAGGGCGTCTACAGAGAGCTCACTGTGGTCCGGTTTAAAGGGGGTCTACAGAGAGCTCGCTGTGGTCCGGTTTAAAGGGCGTCTATAGAGAGCTCGCTGTGGTCTGGTTTAAAGGGCGTCTACAGAGAGCTCGCTGTGGTCCGGTTTAAAGGGCGTCTATAGAGAGCTCGCTGTGGTCCGGTTTAAAGGGCGTCTATAGAGAGCTCGCTGTGGTCTGGTTTAAAGGGGGTCTATAGAGAGCTCACTGTGGTCCGGTTTAAAGGGGGTCTACAGAGAGCTCACTGTGGTCCGGTTTAAAGGGCGTCTATAGAGAGCTCGCTGTGGTCCCGTTTAAAGGGGGTCTACAGAGTGCTCGCTGTGGTCCGGTTTAAAGGGGTCTATAGAGAGCTCACTGTGGTCCGGTTTAAAGGGGGTCTATAGAGAGCTCACTGTGGTCCGGTTTAAAGGGCGTCTACAGAGAGCTCACTGTGGTCCGGTTTAAAGGGGGTCTACAGAGAGCTCGCTGTGGTCCGGTTTAAAGGGCGTCTATAGAGAGCTCGCTGTGGTCTGGTTTAAAGGGCGTCTACAGAGAGCTCGCTGTGGTCCGGTTTAAAGGGCGTCTATAGAGAGCTCGCTGTGGTCCGGTTTAAAGGGCGTCTATAGAGAGCTCGCTGTGGTCTGGTTTAAAGGGGGTCTATAGAGAGCTCACTGTGGTCCGGTTTAAAGGGGGTCTACAGAGAGCTCACTGTGGTCCGGTTTAAAGGGCGTCTATAGAGAGCTCGCTGTGGTCCCGTTTAAAGGGGGTCTACAGAGTGCTCGCTGTGGTCCGGTTTAAAGGGGTCTATAGAGAGCTCACTGTGGTCCGGTTTAAAGGGGGTCTATAGAGAGCTCGCTGTGGTCCGGTTTAAAGGGGGTTTATAAGAGAGCTCGCTGTGGTCCGGTTTAAAGGGGTCTATAGAGAGCTCGCTGTGGTCCGGTTTAAAGGGGGTCCATAGAGAGCTCGCTGTGGTCCGGTTTAAAGGGGGTTTATAAGAGAGCTCGCTGTGGTCCGGTTTAAAGGGGTCTATAGAGAGCTCGCTGTGGTCCGGTTTAAAGGGGGTCCATAGAGAGCTCGCTGTGGTCCGGTTTAAAGGGCGTCTATAGAGAGCTCGCTGTGGTCCGGTTTAAAGGGGGTCTACAGAGAGCTCGCTGTGGTCCGGTTTAAAGGGGGTCTATAGAGAGCTCGCTGTGGTCCGGTTTAAAGGGGGTCTACAGAGAGCTCGCTGTGGTCCGGTTTAAAGGGGTCTAAAGAGAGTGGTCCTATGTAGACATCTAGGTGTGAAGGTAAATCCAAGTTGGCCAAAGCTTTTATGAAAGTCTTGTATATTTAAATGCAACATATAGGGGTGGCCCTAAACATTAAGCAGACTGAGAACTCACTTAGATAGATAGGAAGGGAGGGAGAGAGAAAGAAGGAGAAAGAAGGAGAGAAAAAGAAAGACAATGATATCTTTATAAACATTCGACTTTGAAAAAAACTGTAAAATGCCTGCATCAAACTAAGTAATCAAAATAAGTTTTCTCATCTCCTTTCTTCCCACTCCCCGTCAGCTCAGTGTCACCTGTTCCACAAGTGTTCCTCCGCCCACCTCCCGTCGCCGCGACAACCACTCTCCACGTCCGAGCTCTGACACCGGCATCTGCCACGGCCCCTGGATCCGCTGTTCTGTTCGGATAATGGGCCAATCTGGCAACCCGCTGGTTTTAGGGACGTTTGACAGCACCATGCATATTCATACAACTCACATACACACACACAGACACACACACACACACACACAGACACACACACGCACACACACACACATGCACAGGCACACACACATGCACAGACACACACACACACAGCCTCATGGACCATTACCCGGGGCCAGCGTCTTCACCTCCAAAGAGATTATTTATACAGTTGGACTCTTTGAAAAACACTCGGACCTTTGTTTAAACGACCAAGAGTAGAATCAAAGTCTCTCCACTGCCTTAGACCAAAAGTACTTTTCTTAAACGCAGGAAAAGTACGATTTTAAAGAGAAAATGAAGGCACTGTCTGAACTCAAGCTATTTAATCCACAGTTTAGGTTAATGAAAGGTATATGGGGGGATCATCAAGACTATTGGTCCTCCCAGCTGTCAATCATTCTGGCGATACGTGCTCGTCCAATAAGAGCAGAGAGTTTTGTTCTTAAAGTGGAGAGGGCGGTTCTTTCCTAAAGTTTGGGAAAATCCTCCAATAGAGGTTTTGCACCACCATGTGACCTACGTAGCAACCGTCACTAAGCGGCCATGTTGGATGGCAGGTATGAAACTTTATACAGTCAGATTCAACACAGTGGCCGAGAGCACACCTTTACTAAGACTGATGGGAAAGTTTTGCTGCGCGTCTTTAATTGTGGTAAACGCTCAGAGCGAGACGGTATTTTTTTTTTTTTAAATACCGGCCGTAATTCGCCATCAAAGAAAATAAACTATCGAAAAAGCGACTGCAGCAATGGTTAGCAAGCTAGCATTTGTGACAATGCAGTTTAAAACGGGGAAATCAATAACGTGTTTGTCTGTTCTTGTCATTTTCACCTAAGTTAGTTGTTCTAATAAAAACATTGCGTTGGAGAAAAAAGTTTGTCAGTGACGTGCGGTTGGTGACTGAGGCACTGACTTCATCACAATCAGATTAAACTACATATCAACAGGACATACAGAGGATTATTCACTCATGGTCCACATTGTTTGCTCAAACAAAACGCCAAAGTAAAAAGAACATTTAAAAGTGTGTTATGGTCTTACCTTATATGAACTCCACACACCACTTCATTCAGTTCAGACCAGTTTCATGTTTAAATCCAGATAAAAGTTTAGTATAGATGTGTAATCCTCTGTTCACAATGTAGATTATGTAATCCTCCATTTGGAAATAAGATTCAAAAAGTAAAAAGAACAAATATGGGTGTCCCTCTTGTTTTGCTAGCTCGGTGCTGCAGCCCCGACTTTCGGGTGCGTCCAATTTGTTAAATCCACTTTCTTATCCTTTTACTTCAAATTCCACTAGAAAACCTCTTTGGAAGCTCTTCCGCTGCTGAGAGCAGCTACAGGTTTGGCTAACGTACTTTACATGTAATACATGTTAAGATAGAAAAAATGTAAAAGCCACTTATACCAATCATATGCTTTCAATGAGATAGGAATGATAAGACACCTCTCCTCCTCTTCCTACTCACTCCTCCCCTCCATCTTTCCTCCTCCCCCTCCATCTCTCCTCCTCCTTCTCTCCCCCTCCTTCTCTCCTCCTCCTTCTCTCCCCCTCCTTCTCTCCGCCTCCTTCTCTCCCCCTCCATCTACCCCCCTCCATCTCTCCCCCTCCATCTTTCCTCCTCCCCCTCCATCTCTCCCCCTCCATCTTTCCTCCTCCCCCTCCATCTCTCCTCCTCCTTATCTCCGCCTCCTTCTCTCCCCCTCCATCTACCCCCCTCCATCTCTCCCCCTCCATCTTTCCTCCTCCCCCTCCATCTCTCCTCCTCCTTATCTCCGCCTCCTTCTCTCCCCCTCCATCTACCCCCCTCCATCTCTCCCCCTCCATCTTTCCTCCTCCCCCTCCTTCTCCCCCCCTCCTTCTCCCTCTCCATCTCTCCCCCTCCATCTCTCCTTCCCCCCCTCCATTGCTCCTCCTCCCCCTCCATCACTCCTCATCTCCTCCTCTCCCCCCCTCCATCACTCCTCTTCTCCTCCTCTCCCCCTCCTTCTCTCCCCCTCCATCTCCTCCTCTCCCCCCCTCCATCACTCCTCTTCTCCTCCTCTCTCCCCCCCTCCATCGCTCCTTCTGCCGCTGGTTCTTGTCAGTAATCATTTCATTCGGTCGGTAAAATACAGCTCTGTGGGAGCCGGACGCTTGAGGCCGACGCAGGAAAAGATTGCTCTTCTGCGGAAATAAACTCAAGTGAGATCTGACGAGTCTCTCCATTCTCAGGAAAACCCGGGGCCGGAGCCTCACCGCGAACACACACCATGAACACACACCACGAACACACACCATGAACACACACCAGGAACACACACCATGAACACACACCATGAACACACACCATGAACACACACCATGAACACACACCATGAACACACACCATGAACACACACCACGAACACACACCATGAACACACACCAGGAACACACACCATGAACACACACCATGAACACACACCATGAACACACACCATGAACACACACCATGAACACACACCACGAACACACACCATGAACACACACCAGAACACACACCAGAACACACACCATGAACACACACCATGAACACACACCATGAACACACACCATGAACACACACCATGAACACACACCATGAACACACACCATGAACACACACCATGAACACACACCAGGAACACACACCATGAACACACACCATGAACACACACCATGAACACACACCGCGAACACACACCAGGAACACACACCATGAACACACACCGCGAACACACACCATGAACACACACCATGAACACACACTTCATGAACACACACCACAAACACACACCCTGAACACTAGGGTTGGGCATCGTTTGCAATTTTCCGATTCCGGTTCCGATTCTCACTATCGATTCCTGTTCTAAACGATTCTCGATTCCGATTCTTTGAGGTGCAGGAGAGAAAAAAAAAAGATAATTTTTTATCAAATTTAATTTCATAAGTACTTTTCCTGCCATAAGGCAACAGAAAGTGCTTTACATAAAAACAAATTAAATTAAAAAACAAGGAACACGAACGAACACACACACACACACACACACACGCACACACACACACACACGCACACACGCACACACGCACACGCGCACACGCACACACGCGGTGTTTATGTGGCACCGCCCACCATCATCTCAGAGCGGCTGAAATGTAAACACGTCTCTGTAAACCGCTGAAAAACGGCTAAAGTGAGAATACTGGAGGATTATCGTTGGACGGACAGATTTGACCAAAGCACAAGGACTCGTGCATCGTGTTTTCGGAGTTTTTTACGGATTATTACATGGAGGAGGAGCAGGACTTTTTGCGGTCCTCGGCAGGTGGACAACGTGTTTCCCTTCTTCATCATTACAAAGGGCCTGACCAGTAACTTTAAGGTAAGGAACATCAGTTTTGGATGTGTTTGTAAAGCGAGTGATGAAACTGATGTAGCGTGAGTTTGGGGAAACTGCACCGGGCTAGCACGAGTGTTCAACCGGTCAATACGCCCGTTAAACCTCGCTGTCTGGACTCTAACTTAACCAAATAATATCTGAATTAGTCATTTGACGGATAAATGTTTGCTTCCTTTACCCCTTGACTCAGTTTTATCTGCGTTTGTGGAAAATGTGAAGATACAAGCGTTGAGATGGCAGGAGTGTGTGGCTGAAGCTAAATGTGGCAAATACTGAGCAAACACGAGCGCGCCGTCTCATAAGAGCTTAATTCACTGAGTTTTTCACAAAGCACAAAGGTGGACAGCTGCTAAGCATTTTTGAAACGTGTCCCCCCCCCCACCTTCCAAACGCTTCCGACGCCGCTGTGCGGGCCGCATCCGGCATTTAGGAATCGAAAAAAGAATCAAAATACAAACGTCTTCTTAACGGTTCCGGAACCGCACTTTAGGAACCGGTTCCAAATAGGAACCGGTTCTCGGTGCCCAACCCTAGTGAACACACACCATGAACACACACTTCATGAACACACACCACGAACACACACCGCGAACACACACCACGAACACACACCGTGAACACACACCACGAACACACACTATGAACACACACCACGAACACACACCATGAACACACACCATGAACACACACCACGAACACACACCGTGAACACACACCACAAACACACACCATGAACACACACCATGAACACACACCATGAACACACACCACAAACACACACCACGAACACACACCATGAACACACACCATGAACACACACCACGAACACACACCGCGAACACACACCGTGAACACACACCACAAACACACACCATAAACACACACCATGAACACACACTACAAACACACACCATGAACACACACCACGAACACACACCACAAACACACACTACAAACACACACCATGAACACACACCACGAACACACACCATGAACACACACCATGAACACACACCACAAACACACACCACGGACACACACCATGAGCACACACTTCATGAACACACACCAAGAACACACACCGTGAACACACACCACAAACACATACCATGAACACACACCACGAACACACACCATGAACACACACCATGAACACACACCACAAACACACACCACGGACACACACCATGAGCACACACTTCATGAACACACACCATGAACACACACCATGAACACACACCACGAACACACACTATGAACACACACCACGAACACACACCATGAACACACACCATGAACACACACCATGAACACACACCGTGAACACACACCACAAGCACACACCATGAACACACACTTCATGAACACACACCACAAACACACACCACGAACACACCATGAACACACACCACAAACACACACCATGAACACACACCATGAACACACACCATAAACACACACCATGAACACACACTACAAACACACACCATGAACACACACCATGAACACACACCACGAACACACACCACGAACACACACTACAAACACACACCATGAACACACACCACGAACACACACCATGAACACACACCATGAACACACACCACAAACACACACCACGGACACACACCATGAGCACACACCATGAACACACACCATGAACACACACCACGAACACACACCGTGAACACACACCACAAACACACACCATGAACACACACCACGAACACACACCATGAACACACACCCACAAACACACACCACGAACACACACCATGAACACACACCATGAACACACACCATGAACACACACCATGAACACACACCATGAACACACACCGCGAACACACACCAGGAACACACACCATGAACACACACCGCGAACACACACCATGAACACACACCATGAACACACACTTCATGAACACACACCACAAACACACACCCTGAACACTAGGGTTGGGCATCGTTTGCAATTTTCCGATTCCGGTTCCGATTCTCACTATCAATTCCTGTTCTAAACGATTCTCGATTCCGATTCTTTGAGGTGCAGGAGAGAAAAAAAAAAGATAATTTTTTATCAAATTTAATTTCATAAGTACTTTTCCTGCCATAAGGCAACAGAAAGTGCTTTACATAAAAACAAATTAAATTAAAAAACAAGGAACACGAACGAACACACACACACACACACACACGCACACACACACACACACGCACACACGCACACACGCACACGCGCACACGCACACACGCGGTGTTTATGTGGCACCGCCCACCATCATCTCAGAGCGGCTGAAATGTAAACACGTCTCTGTAAACCGCTGAAAAACGGCTAAAGTGAGAATACTGGAGGATTATCGTTGGACGGACAGATTTGACCAAAGCACAAGGACTCGTGCATCGTGTTTTCGGAGTTTTTTACGGATTATTACATGGAGGAGGAGCAGGACTTTTTGCGGTCCTCGGCAGGTGGACAACGTGTTTCCCTTCTTCATCATTACAAAGGGCCTGACCAGTAACTTTAAGGTAAGGAACATCAGTTTTGGATGTGTTTGTAAAGCGAGTGATGAAACTGATGTAGCGTGAGTTTGGGGAAACTGCACCGGGCTAGCACGAGTGTTCAACCGGTCAATACGCCCGTTAAACCTCGCTGTCTGGACTCTAACTTAACCAAATAATATCTGAATTAGTCATTTGACGGATAAATGTTTGCTTCCTTTACCCCTTGACTCAGTTTTATCTGCGTTTGTGGAAAATGTGAAGATACAAGCGTTGAGATGGCAGGAGTGTGTGGCTGAAGCTAAATGTGGCAAATACTGAGCAAACACGAGCGCGCCGTCTCATAAGAGCTTAATTCACTGAGTTTTTCACAAAGCACAAAGGTGGACAGCTGCTAAGCATTTTTGAAACGTGTCCCCCCCCCCACCTTCCAAACGCTTCCGACGCCGCTGTGCGGGCCGCATCCGGCATTTAGGAATCGAAAAAAGAATCAAAATACAAACGTCTTCTTAACGGTTCCGGAACCGCACTTTAGGAACCGGTTCCAAATAGGAACCGGTTCTCGGTGCCCAACCCTAGTGAACACACACCGCAAACACACACCACGAACACACACTATGAACACACACCACGAACACACACCATGAACACACACCATGAACACACACCACGAACACACACCGTGAACACACACCACAAACACACACCATGAACACACACCATGAACACACACCATGAACACACACCACAAACACACACCACGAACACACACCATGAACACACACCATGAACACACACCACGAACACACACCGCGAACACACACCGTGAACACACACCACAAACACACACCATAAACACACACCATGAACACACACTACAAACACACACCATGAACACACACCACGAACACACACCACAAACACACACTACAAACACACACCATGAACACACACCACGAACACACACCATGAACACACACCATGAACACACACCACAAACACACACCACGGACACACACCATGAGCACACACTTCATGAACACACACCAAGAACACACACCGTGAACACACACCACAAACACATACCATGAACACACACCACGAACACACACCATGAACACACACCATGAACACACACCACAAACACACACCACGGACACACACCATGAGCACACACTTCATGAACACACACCATGAACACACACCATGAACACACACCACGAACACACACTATGAACACACACCACGAACACACACCATGAACACACACCATGA